TGCGGCTGAAGCTCATTGAATGCTTGTCGAAGTTTATGGTGACACTGCTCCAACTGATAAATCATGTAGGGAATGGTTTCGACGTTTCAAGAATGGAGATTTCAGCGTTGAAGACAAGCCTCGCTCTGGACAGCCAAAAAAATTCGAAGACAAAGAATTAGAGGCATTACTCGAAGAAGATCAGAGTCAAACGCAAGAGGAATCTTACAGAATCATTGGGAGTAATCAACAAGTCGTTTCTGTACAATTAAGAGCCATGGGAATGATTCAAAAACAAGGGGGCTTTAAACCGAGAGATGTTGAAAGGCGATTTTTTACTTGCGAACAGCTGATTCAAAGACAACAGAGAAAAGATTTTTTGCATCGGATTGTGACTGAAGATGAGAAGTAGATATTTTACGACAACCTCAAGAAGAAAAAATACTACGCTAAGTCCGGTCAATCGTTGCCTCAACACCACGACCGAACATTCATGGTTCGAAGATCATGCTCTGTATCTGGTAGGACCAAAAAGGTCTTGTTTATTATGAGCTGCTGAAATCTGGCGATTCCATTACGGGCGATCGGTATCAGCTACAATTGATTTGTTTGAGTCGTGCATTGCGAGAAAAACGGCCGAAATATGAGCAAAGACATGATAAAGTTATTCTTCTTCATGTCAACGCTCGGCCTCATGTCGCTAAAGTCGTTAAAAAATATTTGGAAACGCTCAAATGAGATGTTTTACCGCACCCGCCGTATTCTCCGGAACATTGCTCCTTCTGATTACTGGTTGTTCCAAAAGATGCAGCAAGTCACCGGTTCACTTCTTTCGCAGAAATCGAAAATTGGATCGCCTCCAAAGACGTCATTTTTTCGAAATGGAATTCGAAAATTGCCTGAGAGATGGGAAAAAGTAATAGGCAGCGATGGACAATACTTTAATTGATCTGTTCATTCATTTTGTTTTGAAATAAATGCATTTTTGAACGGATCGAACTAATTTGTACTCCCAATATGAAATGAAATGCCCTTTTTACTTCTTTCCTCATTTCCTCACAGTACTTCATGTTCATGCTTTGCATATTTTACAATTATGCGATTTTATAATCTTTCAAATATAATTCCACATTACACATGATGACATATGCTTTTACTGACATATGCGTCTCACTAAAGAACACTAAACATAAGTGCACATGAGCCTGAAAGTTTCTGATTCGCTCTTATATTGACCAAATTAAAATGGCTAATTAATTGGTGCCACGATTTTCTATGCTTTACAGCGAAGATGCCCATTTCAGTGTATATATAGGGCTATATTCGGAAACATCACTTGTTGGTGTATTTCGATGACTTCAGTGGAGAAGTAGTGGGGATATTATGTGCCTTTGCGTAATGAGTATTCCCGAATGGCTTCCGTGGCATCTCAATTCTACCTCACCGCTCACGTTTAACCCTAATCTCGAACTAAACAATTCATTGGTGAAGAAAGGCAGTGGAATGATTGTAAAGAGGAACGATGGCGGTATATGATTGTAAAAAGAAAGGAATATAAGTCGTTCCTTCCAAATTTCGAATTTCAATTGATCGATCATAAAACATGATGCATAAGAAAATCAACCAATCAGATTTTTTTAATTCATGGAAAGGAAGGAAATAAAGGACTTTGATTAGTTTATTTTCTTATGCCTCATGTGTTATGCAAGAGTGCTCCCCGCTTTTAGGGCTGCCGTACATAAAATTTCGCAACAGTGACCGTAAACTTAAGCCGATGAACCAATTAGGATATTGCTTTAGATGTACATAATGTAACAGAAATAAAAATAACAGTAAACTTATCCATAACTTTGTAATAAGATGAATTTCAATCGATTGAAATCGCCTTATGTATAAATTTACTGCTACTTTTATTTCCTTTAGAGTAGATTTAAAGCAATATCTTAATTGGCTTATCGACTTAAGTTCTTAGTCCGGATCTACAATTGGTGATTTATGCCTCAAGCCATAAGAAATGACGAATTATAGTACAAGGAGAATAATCAATTGCGATTCGTTCATTTCTTACGGCTTAAGGTTTAAAAATCTATTATACATCCGGACTTAAGATTACTGTTACAGAAATTTTGTCTGCGGCATCATTAAGGGCTGCTTTTATTCTATGAGCTGTAGTATACGTTGCGTGCACTATACAGTGTGTGGAAATAATTGCCAAATATTTGATGGGCAGATAGAGCGGACTAAATTGAGTGGAAAAGCCCTCTATCATTTTGTAAGTTTTCCTAATAGTTAATGAGATATTAATCCTTAAAAATAATCGAATATTACTGCGAAGTGTATACGCCTACCGATCGCTTGGCGCGCGAGTCGTGGGGAGCGGGACTAGCCTGGCAAGCGCGCCGTCCGAACTATGAAGACAATGTGCGCGGAGCGCTTGCCAGCCAATCCCCAACTTCCAAGGCCCGCGCACCAAGCGATCGGTAGACACTTCGCAGTAGTAGGCCGGGCGAGCGCGCGTATTCGGCTATCTTTAAGGATTAATATCTCATTAACTATTGGGAAAATTTAAAAAAGGGTAGAGGATTTTTCGACTCAGTTTAGTTCGTTCTACCTGACCTGAAATATTTGGCGATTATTTCCAGACACCCTATATATTTCGAGTAAAATTTTCCTCGGAGAGTAAGTTTTGGAACGTTGCTTAAATCTACGTACTCTAATGAAATTAGAAATAGCAGTTAACTTATCCATAAGGCGAATTTCAATCAGTTGACATTCGCCTTATTGCGAGGTTATGGATAAATTTATTATTATTTCCATTTCCGTTAGATTACATAATCTAAAGCAGCATCCTTATTGATTTATCGGCTTAAGTTTACACTTTACGCATACTGTTATAGAATTTTATCTGCGGCAGCCCTTAGGCCGGAATTAGACTATGCATTAAAGATTGAGATTAAAGATTAAAGATTGAAATTTCATCAATGAGGACAAAGAAGTTTTGGCTCCTTTTGTTTTGATTGCTCAAACTTCAATCTTTCAATGTTATTCTTCAATGCGTAGTCTGATTCTAGCCTTAGGCTATATCCACACAAACTTATATATACGCATAAACGAATGCATAAAGAAAATTATCCAATCGCATTTTTTCTAAAAACGCACGTAAAATGTGATTGGATAATTTTCTTTATGCATACGTTTATGCAACTATGCAAGTTTGTTTGAATATACTTTTACAGTCTGTTGCGGAATTTTATGTACAGTAGCCTTAACGTATCGTCACACGTCGTACACGCACTATAAAGCCAGCGACATACGATGCTTATTTGATCGCTGGACTGCTAGCTGGATTAAAATCTTGTCGCCGTATTGCGGTACTGTCAATAGCCTAGTTTCCAATGAGGGTTTAAATCAAATCAGAATGTAAGAATCAACCGACTACGAGCATTCCCTTGTTTGACAGGGAAATCTTCGACTATTGGTTAATTCTTGTATTTTGATCCAGTTTAAACCCTCGGTGGAAATTAGTGCTAGATTCACACTGAATCCGACTAGGGTCCTCCCTGACAGCACAAAGTAGATTCTAAGTCAACTCTGAGTCGACTGTAACTTCTAGACGTCTGAAAAATGGACATCCGTAAGTCGACTTTAGATGACTTGGAGACGTCTTTAAGCCATACAATGTCTTTAAGCCAGTCAATGTCACTTTAAAGACGACTGTAAACCGACTTCAACTATTCTAGGCTGTGGTCCAATTCATGCTCATAACGCTCATGAACAGTATTCATCATTGTTTAATTATAGTTAAACAACAAGGACGAAATGATTCCACATTTAAGCTTTATGAGCGTAAATCGCAGACGTCCTAAAGTCGATATTGTACAAAGTCTGTACAAAGTCGACTTACAATCGACTCTAAAGGCCTGACTTAGCAAAATCAACTTACAGTCGAGGTTTGCGCTGTTAGGGAGGCCGTTATAGGCTGTGGTCAAAGGCTGTAGTCAAGTCTCACGACAAATGCTTTGAAGCATTTAATGAATCAATTAGAAGAAAAAATTTTATAAACTGTCCAATTAAAAAACGCTTCACAGCATTTGCAGCATCGCGTTGACCGTACTTTTAGATATAACTCGTACTGAGAGAATCGCAATCGCTATCCTGATTTCTGATTGGTTCCGCCATTTTTTCTAAGGATAATCTTTTAGGATTCTAATTTTGGTATTATTATTTTTAAATCTTGATGTGTATACTGTCTCCAGAGAAAATCAATAATCGTTGTAATCAGTTTCAAACATTGTTATAGGAATCGTACTCCGTTTGAGGAATGACAGATATAAATATAGGTCGTCATTTTTTCTTTAGACGATCAATTATAACCTTTAAATATGCTCGGTTGCGCTTCTCTGTTGTATCTAGGACTCTAGATCCGACGTGCGTCATACGACGCTCTGCAACCAATCAAAAAATAGGATTTTGCTTCGTATCATCAATACAAAATAAATTTCTGCTTTCTGATTGGTGGGTCACCTTCGTATAACACACACGTCGGATCCAGTGTGAATCCAGCATAGGCCAGTTACTACGTTTACACGGCACGCTTTACTAAGTAACTCGAACGAAGCGGGTGCGGGGCGAATAATCTTCGTGATCTCGATGCTGTTGGCTAGTTATTCCAGTACATTTATTCCATTCTTCAGAGGAATAACTATGATTGGTCAATTTCATAACATCAATGTTATAACTTCGTCGTAAAGCGTTTACATAAATCGCAAACACAGAACGCATTTGCGACAGCCAATCAGAAGTGCCAATAATACTAATAACAGCTTTTGATTGGTTGTCGCAAATGCGTTTGCAAACTGCGTTCTGCGTTTGCGACTTACGTAGATGGTCCTTAACAGAGCTTATTATCGCAGCCAATACGGTGGCAAGACTCTGATCCAGCTAATAAGCAGAAAAACAAGCATCGTGTGGTGCAACCTTTACAGACATGATATCCAGCCTGTAATATTGATGGTAGCAGGTAGCGGCAGTAACACTAGCCGCACCACTAGCAGTATCAAGATCACGAATATTACTCGCCCCGCACCCGCTTCGTTCGAGTTACTTAGTTTTGTGTGCGACCTGATTTCAGGAATTTCTACCTTTTTCTTTCGTTCCATCATCGTGCCCATCCTAAGTGTTCCACTCGTCTCCAGAAAATGTGGACGCGTTAATTATCTCGAGACGGGTTTATTAGTCACCTGAATGCGTGTGGTTTCCTCGTCGGTGGATGGACATCTCGATGTTCGCGTCGGTGATCGGTCACGACAGCCGGCGAAGACAACGTATGCCGGGATCGTAAAATTTGTACGAATTTCGCAGAAACGTGCGCGACAGATCTGAAAACGTCAAGGCTCGACGATAGCAGTGACGGAGACGACATTCTCGGATAATCTCGGACGCCACAGGTTTTCCTATGTGCCATCTCCGCGCGGACGTTGCACGATTACGTTTTGAGACACCTGGGACTGCCGCGTGTCATCCCGACAATCATGGACGTTGATTGTCCGATCATTAGTCTGAAGCGATCCAGCAGCGCGCCGATGATTAACGAGATCAGCGCGACCATGTCCATTACTACACCGTCAACATCGTCCTCGAGGTATATCAATAACTATTCCCCTCCATCAACATATATCATGGAATGTGAATTATTCCGCTTGCAATCTGAATTACTCCAGATTCAGGATAACGTAAAACTCATAGTATATATCAAGATGATAAAGTCTATAATTGTGGTCTTATAGTGTGTTCGGCCCGACTTCAGGTTTGCATCAAGGATTGAATTAATAACATTTCATGTTCTCCTATTACTAGAGCATTAACGTCAATCAATAATAGATCATTAATCCAACTCAGATTGCAAATTCGATTGAGCCGAAAATGCTGTTAGTAATTATTTTTATTACCAAGTTACTTGCACTTCTTATGAGTGGATAATTGAAGTATTATCTGCTCCAACTATTAGTAATTTTGTAAAATTAACAGTGTTGCATGAAGCAATTCAGATATTGCCTAGTTGAATACAGCTATTGAATAGATATGATCCATTTTTTAAATATATTTTTTTCGAATATAATTTTAAAACTTGTTATTGGAATAATACTAGAAAAATAAATAGTAAGTGAAATTTAAAAATTTGATATTAATAATGTAATGTAAAGTGACAATCTGACAACACAATCAAATACAGCATTTAAGCTGTGTACATTTATATCAACTTATGTCATAGTTGAAAAGCATGGAATCATACACTGTATTAGCCTGTGTATATTGCTGAAAAGTACTTAATATTTCTATTACATAGGGTATCTCATACAGTGCCAAAACTGCTACAGTGGCTTCAGCATATGAAAACAAATTGAAATATCTAATAAATATATATCCGATTTCGAACGATTTCGGAATTACAGGATATTGAAGAAAGAAAACATGATTCGTAATAAATGTTCGTTATTCTGTTGTTCTGAATTCTGAGCCGTTTTCTGATAGTCTAGATCTTTCATTCCCCAAAATGTAAACAAATATATGTTAAAGATGACATGTCACTGTCAATGACCACTATTTTCATTAAATTGGAAGAGGCCAGGATGCTCCTATTAAGTGGCCAGTGAGAAGTCCCGATCTCACGTTACTGGATTTTTTTCTTTGGAGATGAATGAAAGATCTAATCTACCAGAATGAAATTTAGAATGCAAAACAATTATGGCAATTGGTACTTAACACTGCTGATATCATTCGTGAAACTCCAAATATTTGTCATCAAGTCCGAAACAATTAATTCATGTTAGAGAGTGTGTCGAAGTCAAAGGACAGAAGAATTTTTGAACATTTTTTGTAAAACAAATAGAATAACGAATATTAAATAATATTTACTATGATTCATGTTTTCTTTAATATCCCATAATTCTGAAACCGTTCAGAATCGGACATATGTTCTCTCTAAATTTTTTGGAGTGAAATTTTCTCTAATCCTGGAGTCACCAGTTCATTCTACGTGGAGGAAGTATTCACTTTAATAGAGTGAATTCTTTCACACTAAGACAAAAAGTGAAAAGTTTCACTTTTATTTTTAAAGTGAAATTATTAATGCTTTAAACTTTATTCCAATTTAAAGTGCAGAAATCTTGCCAAATTATGCCTAACGCCTTCTCAATTCTTGTACAAGCCATTTATAATTGCCAATTATTAACTATATTTAGTTATGTATGTTTTGAATGTATGAACAACGTCAAGTGTTTGACAAATTCGGAATCTATCAAAGATAAGCTTGTTTATACATTTGTATATACATAAAATAGAAATCAAAAGGATACGAACAGAGGTTAAAGTATTTTGTTTAGATATTTTAGGATAATGAAAGAAATTAATTTCTACTGAAAATATTAATAAAATGTAATAAATCGAAATTCATGACTTCAATCTTTAATATGTTTGTACTCTTGTACAGATAAAGTACTTAGAGAGTTTCAAGTTAGTCAAAAAATGCCTGCGACTTTATAATTAGATTACAAAACATCTTTTTTCCGAGAAAAATCATTCTTTTTAGAGTTGAAGAATAAATCTAAATGAAGAATGAATAATTTCATTCTTTTGAAAAGTGAAATTTTGCTCCATTTTGATTAGCGGTATTTTCATAAATATTTGGAGTGACTGTTCACTCTAAAAAAGTGAGATTTCACTCCAAGAAATTTAGAAAGTTTATAAAACATTTTCAATTTGTTTTCATGTGCTAAAGTCGCTATAGCAATTTTGGATCTATATGCAGAGGATATCCTGTATTTATACATATAATTTATACATATAAATATGCATTTCTATTGAAACTTTTTACTGGAAGTTTTAATTTTTTATATACTTCTTTAAAATAAGATTAAGTTAGAAATTATTTAAAAAATGAAAATATGTACTGCTCAAAAAAATTATGGCATAAAAAAATTTTGGGCAAAAATTGGTTAACTTTGATTGATGATAATTTTGCAAAAAATTATCGTAGGATGACGTAAGTTTTTGTTTTTAATTAAAGCTTGAAATCTTTATCTTCAGACGCTATGATCAGATTTTAAGTGTGATGCACCTCTGCCACTATAAAATGTGTTCAAAATATGAGGATGTGTATTTGTCATATTGAAAATTACAAAGTTTGACGGAATGTATGGACTTCGGAAAATTTTTGGGGGGAATGCTGATTGCAGCGGCATAAAGTTCGAACTTTCCTTTTTAATAACAAAAAAAAAGTTGCTGTGATTTTTTTTCGTAAAGTTACAGTATTTTAAAATAGCCCTCGTACTTTTGATATACTACCAATTACCGACATTACCTGCATTATCGGATATGCACTACAGTGGGATTATTGAATGAATTTTGCATTCGTATTTCTGCGTGTGTTGCTTTCGCGTTATTCGATTACTGCTTGTAGTCGATTTCTCATATTAATGCAGGCTCTCATTTCTTCTTGCGAAATATTATTCCATATTTATACTAAAGCTTGTGATAAATCTCTGAAATTGTCTTGTCAAATTTTTTAATCTACGAACCATTATGTCGCACGTATTCTATGGGATTCAAATTAGGGGACTCACTCTATGGGGCTCATTGCAGGATGTAGAAGCAGTCTAATTAAGTTTTCCACCAAAAATTAGGCAAGTAATAGCTGCAGTATGCGGTCGTTAATTATCCTACATAAGCAAAAAATTTTTTGCATATCCGATAATGCAGATAATATCGGTAGTCGGTATATGTCAAAAATATGAGGGCTACTTTAAAGTGCTGTAACTTTGCGAAATATATATATATTTTTTTAAGAGAAACTTTTTTTTTTTTAAAAGAGGAAAGTTCGAACTTGACGCTGCAAATGCATTTCTCCAAAAAATTTTACAAAGTCCATGCATTCCGTTAAACTTTGCAATTTTCAATACAACACTCTCTCTCTCTCTCTCTCTCTCTCTCTCTCTCTCTCTCTCTCTCTCTCTCTCTCTCT